CCACTTCTCAGGCCTTAATAGTGGTGCTGTCATGAGTTCCTTGTGATGTATGTGGTTGTTGGCAACGTCTTGTCTTACTGAGGGCATCGGGTTGGCCGTTTCCGGTTGCTGTTCTCGACTGGTAGTTAGGAGCCTGAACTCTTGCGTAACTTCTTGAGAGGCTGCTCTGATCAACAGTTGCATAATATCGGGGTTCTTGCAATGAGATGTCGCGCATGGAAAGGTGTCCCTGCAGGCCCCTCCGGTGGGCAACCCCGTTACCAAACCATGTTGCAGTCTGCATATGTGTTGTTGAGTTATTTCGCAATGGAGGCTTGTATTTGTACTAAATCGGTCCTAAATAGTTCGACGTACAAAAACTTGATATAATAGGTATTACGCAGAGTAATCTTGTTGTGATCGCTGACTACTTTCGTATTCGATTAACTGTCGACTACTGTCGTCCGACATCGACTGACCCTCGTTTCTCTTACTACGCCTACTTATATTAGGTGGGAGAGTCTATTAACTATAGAATAGGTGTGTTTCACCATAACAGTATGTCACATCAAATGAGAGACTACTACAACTACCTTGGGCCTCGTCTTTGCCAATATAACACATCATGATTATAAACAACTAAACATATAAACTTAAATCACCTTAACCGTTCCTTCTCCAGCATTCGTGGTATTTATACCAACTTCTGCAGTGTAGAATCTTTCCTTTTCGAAAAGTCTACAGACATTCTAGCTCTCTGAGAGAATAACTGCAACACTTCTATTCCTTCCTCTGATTTCTCGATTCCTGGTTTCCTTCCTTTACTTAGAAAGGACTCTAGAATCCACATGCATGGCCTGAGAGTTTATGCCCGCGAACATCTCTTGCTGGATAGGGAACCCTCTCTTGAATATCCAGACCGCTCATACTTGTGTTGTTGCCTCTGTCTACTTAACTCAGTCAGCTACATCTTTTTCTATCGTTCCACTTCCTCTCAATACTGTTGTGTGTTAGATAGTATCTCAGATAATATAAACAAGGTCATCTCCATTTTAACCGTTTGCAAACATACTTGTGTTCGGTGACATTAATGCTCACCATACCAGGTGGCTTCAACACTGCCACTGACCTCACTGGCTTCCAAACCCTTAACTTCTCAATCATTCACAGAAATGGTTGACTTTGCCACACGTTTTCTCAGTAACTCTGACGGAAACGCCTCTCTTCTCTAAATATCTCTCTTAGTCGATTCATATCTACCAATCTATCCTGGTCTGTCTGTCTATCTATCCTTTCACATCTATCAATCTACCTATTTTGGTCTGTTCACTTCTATCTATCTACCTATCTTGCTCTATTCATCTCTATCTATCTATTCACATCTAGCTCTCTATCTATATTAGTCTATGCATATCGATCTGTCTTGGTCTATTCACATCTATCTATCTATCTATCAATTAGTCTATTCACATCTATCTCTCTTAGTCTATGCACATCTATCTTTATTAGTATCTTTCTATTTTAGTCAATTCATATCTATTTATTTATCTATCATATTTGATTCATATCTTAGTCGATTCTTATCTATCTGTTTTAGCATATTCACATCTATTTTTCTATCTTAGTCTATTCACATTTCTTTAAGTTTATTCATATCTATCTACATATCTATATCTATGTTATTCAAATCTATATCACTATTTGCATCTATCTATATTCACATCTATGTATCTATCTTAGTCTTTCACATTTATCTCAATCTATTCAAATCTATCTTAGTCTATTCACACCTATCTAAGCCTAGTCACATCTCTCTAAGGCTGTTCCTAGCTATGAATCTTATTCTACTCAACTTTATCTTAGTCTGTTCGCATCTGTCAATATATCTATCATAGTCTATTCAAATCTATCTATATATCTATCTATATCTCAGTTTATTAACATCTATCAATCTAGCTATCTTAGACTATTCGCATGCATCAATCTTAATATATTCATATCTATTTTAGTCTACTCACATCTATCTATCTTAGTCTATTCACATCTATCTCAGTCTATTCTCAACTATATTCACATCTATTTTAGTTCATTAACATCTATCTTATCCTATTCACACCTATCTTATCCTATTCACGTCTATCTATCATATATATGCAGACCAAAATTTACAGTTTTATTAATGTCATATATATATATATATATATATATATATATATATATATATATATATATATATATATATTAGTCTATCCTTATCTATCTGAACATTTTAGAGACATTGCTAAGACTGATTGAACAATGCTACTTTTGTAGTTCTGCCTCTACTTAATTTTCTTTACAGTGAGTTGGGACATACACACTTGACTGCTTGCCGCTATCATCCAACCTAAATATTTGCCTCATTGTGCTAAATTTAATCATGCATTAAATATCACATTGCATGTTGCCTAGCAGGGGTGACAGTAAATGAAAGAGTCATAACTAACCATTAAATTCATCAGGTCCTTCTCTGTCCGTGGCTGTAGATCAAAATATTAAAAAGATCAATAATTTTGGTGTGTGGCATTTATATCAAGACATTGTCTAGAGATAAAGGGTTAAGATTGGGTACATAATATTTCATTGATGTCTTCCAATAATCTTCCTTGTCATTTAAGCCAAATGGTTTTGTTTCTATTAATAATTCCAGACTTGAAAGAGATATGTTTATGGTATACATGAAAAATTTCTCAGAGTTCACCTGTAGAAAAAGACAATATGTATAAAGGTAAAAGACAATAGGAAAACTGTATTATTAGCCAACTCGTTTTTCGTTCAATGTGGACTTTTTGAAGACAAAAACGAAATGAATTTATTGAAACCAAAGTAACTATTAACAAGAATACAAAATGTCCTTAGCAACTAGAAGGATTTAGAAAACGGTACTGTATTTCACTTGACGAATATTCAAGCATAGAAATAAATACAATATGGGAACCAGTAATAAGGAGAGCCAGAGAAAAGCAATGATAACAACAAAAGTTGCAATATGAGCTCTGGTAAAAACATGCAATGATAACAGCAAAAATTGCAATATGAGCACTGGTAAAAATGTTTGCAGAAGACATTAGGTTTATAATACCCAGAAATTCATACCCAGATGTCTGCACAGTGGATAAAGGCGTTGGTTAGATCCAGTGAGAGGACCCAAAGAGTGTGAGTTCAATACCCGGTTAAGGCAGTGGAGAATTTTCAGAGGGAAATTAGCAGGAGATAACTAATAACTGACATCCATCAAACATGGCACGTGGAACTAGAACAGTCTACCCCAGTGATCGAAATAAAGGGTTCAGTTCGAAATTCCAACCACCTGAAGAAGGCCGGAGCGAACAACGGCCGAAACGTTGTGATAAATATGGCGACACATATGAGGACAATAGTCCGAATAATGTAAATAATGTTCACTTGACAATATGAATACAATTGCGTTTTCTAAATTCTTATAGTTGCTAAGAACATTTTGTTTGTTGTTAATAGTTACTTTGTTTTCAATAAATTCATTTCGTTTTTATTATCCCTTTTCTTAGGGTGAATTTATTAAAGAAAAAAAAGAGAAAAATATATAACATTGACTTTATAGATAAAAGTATTCGTCTGGAAAAATTTTTTTTCTTAGAACAAAATGAGTGAGGGGTTTTTCCATTTCATCATTCGCTTACTCATGTCAGACATCTATGTATCACCCGCGACGTAAGGAAAGTAGAGAGAGAGAGAGAGAGAGAGAGAGAGAGAGAGAGAGAGAGAGAGAGAGAGAATGAAACACGTACAATCATGAAATTGAAGACGTCCAGAACCTCTTCTAGTCGCGGGTCACATACTTTGTTGCCGAATCGCGTGAAAAAGAATTTATGTTGAGTTCTATTAGTTTTCAAAGAGTCTATTATCAATAACACACACACATATATATATATATATATATATATATATATATATATATATATATATATATATATATATATATATATATATATAATATGACAAGAGGATAAGGAAAACGAATAAACAAGCGAAGTCGTATGCAAATGAGAATAGAATGCCAATAAGTAAATAAGTGCTAAATTTGAGTACTGATATAATTTTAAGAACAATGAACAGATAACCATGCAACTGATATTTTTTTAAATGACATGCCTCTTTAGACCGTAGGCGTTCTTAACTTTTCCGTTTTCTTTAGTACCTGTGAGTTGCCGCGCTTTTTCCAAGGGTATTAGTACAAACGTGATTGCATCAAACTTAAATTCGCTCATGGTCCGCCGATACCACTCATCCCAACGATATCCATTACACTACCCCAGGGAATTGATAAACCTACTGAAAAAGCACTTTGCTCTGAACAGCCTTGGTATTTAAAAAAATTGCTGTTAGGTAAATCTGCTGTTAAATTATCTGTTTATATTTCTAAGAAGAGGTATTGTAATTATTTACACTAATTACATTGTTCAAACTGTTGTCCTCATCTTGGTTATTATATTCACAACGTTTCGGCCGTTGTACGCTCCAGCCTTCTTCAGGTGAATGGAATTTCGAATCGACACCTTCATTTCGCCCATCGATGTAGATTGTTCTAGTAAACGAAATAAAAGGTATGGTTCGAAATTCCAATCACCTGAAGAAGACCAGAGCGTACAACGACCGAAAAGTCGTGAAAATGACAATCGAGATGCAGAGAACAGTCAGAAGAATATAAATATTGTAGATTAATAATTATTTAATTAATTAATAAATGATTCTTGTATAACGGCCAGGGTATTGTTTCATTAACTTTGTTCGAATCGAGGATTTGATTCCTTTGTTAAATATTGATTTTGACTGATTTTCCAATGACGGCATAATGTCACAAGTGTGGGTCACCTTGTGAACATCGAACTCAACCCGGTAAAGAGTCGGCGAAATTAGGTTACTAACCATTGCTCCAAGACAAGATTAATTATTATATTGTTAAACAGAGAGTATTACGTTGTTATTTAAATCACAAGACTAAAGGCTATATCAGGTTGAAGAATCGGTTCTTGTACGATCACAGAAGTTAAGCAACTTCGAGCCTCGGCAGTACCTAGACGCGTGACCGTTTAGGAATACCAAGTGCTGTAAGCTTGGATGTGCGGGTGGTGTAGTAGATAAAGACTGGGAATTGTTAATCAGAGAATCAATTTCCAATTGGGTTCATTTTATTCACTTACGAGCAATTAACAATTGGAAAAGTTATTAATCCACATATTCTTCCTCAGCTTTGGGTTAATTAGTATGACTTGTATCAGTAAATCATTATTATCTCCAAAACAAAAATTCTTACAATCCAAAAATATTTTCTGGCTTTAAGTAATCTGCAGAGTTTTGATAAGCCGTAAAAAACGAAACCATCAATCAATTGAATTATAATTTGCTAATTATTCTTGTGTACATTTTAGTATTTACGAAGTATGAAAAGTTTTCGTAAGTTCTCATCTCGCACATACACGCCAGTAAGAAATAAGCAAACACTAAAGGTGCCTTCCAAAAGCTAAACAATGTATTAAGAAACAGAAAGAAAACTACAATACCTTCTACACAACTGTCAGACGATAAACTACATTCACATCCTGGGTAAGACGATAAACTACATCCGGTAGCAAAGTCTTTGATCAGGAAGTTTTGAGGAGCGTGGAATCACTTCTTAATTGCTGGTGTTTCCAGATCCACCCTGACCCAGAGTAGTAACACCTGACAGGGTACCAGCTATGGGTAAATAGTTAACCCCTTAAAGAGGGTCAACATATGAAAGTGTAAAAAATAGGTTTCAATACCAGCAATACTTTTTGGAGGAAAATTATTACCAGCAGTACATTTTTGAAAAAAATATTACCTGCAATACATTTTTGGAAAAAATATAACCAGCAATAAAAATCTTGTCGGCATTAAATTACACATTGAGGTTGATATGTCGTAAACCAAACCAAAGCTTCTATATAAGGGAGTAAAAAAATCGGGAAAAAAGGACTTAGTAAGAAGACAAAATGTATGGTTCTCAAAAAGAAGGAAAAATCCAACATGAAAGCTACGAATTGGAGACGTCAAAATCAAGTAAGTACAAAACTTTAAATATCTATGAAGTGTTTTAACAGTTGACGGAAAATGTGACACTGAAATCCGAATGTATATTGGAAATAGCAAAAGATGCCTCCAAAGTATTAAGAAACAGGAAAATATCATTAGAACCAAAAGAAAAGGGCGCTGAACTGCTATGTAATATCAATTCTCCTATAGGGTAGGGAATACCGAACAATTTCCTCATAGATTAAGAGAAGACAACAAAAATATGTTTCTACAGAAGAATAGCATAAACGGAGAATGTAAGCAACAAGTACGTTTTACGGAAAGTGGAAACACAAAGGGCAATTATACATGAAATCAGAAAAAGATGGAAGTTAAAATTTTTGGGGCACATAATGAAAAATGAAGGCTTGGAAAGAACATATTGAATGCAAGAGAAAAAAAAATAATGTTCCTATTTTCTTTATGAATTTTCTGATTTTAGCTTTTATGATATCTTTATTCGTCAAATAAGTCATATGACACGTGTTAAATATTCAATTTCTCAATTTTTTTTATTTATCATTTTACCCCAAGCAAAGCGGGAATGCCACTAGTAGGCAGAGGGTTACAGAGATTGAAACTGAGAAAAGACTGGGTATAGGGGGGGGGGGGAGGAAGTGATAAAAGATGAACGGGGTTCAAGACGACAGAAGATGGCGATTGACGTCGCATTTAAATATTTTCATGGAAGCAAGTAAACAGAAGAGAGTTCCATTGTCGACAAGTGCAAGAAAAGAAACAGTTGGTGTAGAAGTGGCGGTTACATTTAACTATTTCAACAGTAAAAAGGTGAGACCTAGGTGCCAATCTAGTAACACGCTTAAATTCATGTAGTTCAGGCACCAGGGAGAAAAAGCTCGTCAGAGCAGTTGCCATGAAAATATTTGTAGAAAAGACAGAGGGAAGCCACATCACGTTTGTGAGAAAGTGACTGGAGTCTAGATGCCAAATCAGGATCGATTACATTGCAGATCCTTCTTTGGATTTTGTCAAGAATCTTCAGATGAATAACAAGGGAACCAGACCAGATATGGAAAGCAGTATTCAATGCACAGACGAATGGTACATTTGTAAGGTGAACTCTGATGAGAAAAAAACCTTCTGGTACGACACAATGAACCAACGTTCCTTGTGGTAGATGCAGCTATTGATTCAATGTAGTTGTTTCACTTCAAGTCAGTGGAAAATGTGAGGCTAAGAAGGCGCAGTCTAACGCTCTCCAGGAGTCGAGCATCAGCTATGGTAATGACAGGCAGGGAATTATCTCTGTGGTGGCTAAATGAGAGCAGTTTCCTTGTTAAAAATTAAAAGCCATTTCCTGTCTCAGTGAACATCTGATTGGAAGTATTTTTCAAGAGCAGCGGCCAGGTTAACTTTGTCAGCTCTGACGGATTTACTATTTAGACAGGAGTAAATGGTAGTGTCATTTGCATAGATGCCTACTTAGAAACTGATGACATCAGGTAGGTCATTGTTGAAGATCAGAAACAGGGTAGGACCCAGGATAGAGCCTTGGTGGACATCCGCGTTCGTGTGAAAGGATCTGGAAGCGACCCTGTTCAAAACGCCCGTCATTTCACGATTTGTTAAGAATGATTGGATTAAATCAAACAATCGTCCTGTCATACCGTAGCCTTGAAGCTTACGTAGAAGACAAGCATGCCAAATCCTGTCAAATGCCTTTGAGATATCTAGAGTCACAGTTCGATCTTCGCCGTTATCAAGAGCTTGATATACATATTCAGTGATAGTCACATAAGCACGTCAGCGGTAGACCGGGAAAAACAGAAGCAGAACTTATTTTATACAGTAGGTCGTGAGAGGTAAGATGCTTGGTCGTGTGAAGTAAAATGCTTAATTAATTAAAAACCGTAAGTTTTATTCTAATAGTTTTTTTTTTATCTCACTTCACACCTTAGGACTTCAAATCTTCAAAACGCAACGTCAATCACCATCTTTTGTTTAGTTGAATTTCTTTTATCGTTTTTGCACTTCACCCGTTTTCTTTAACTCTCAGTAAACCCTTGCGTTTTAGTGGCATCATCGCCTTGCTTGGGGATGAAATGATTAAATGAAAAACTTCGAAACTTTTTACTAATTATTACTGTTTGTTTTCATCGGCACAAAACGATTCAGCTTTCATCCTAACTGCGCATATAACCATTGCCCCCATCAAGGAAATAAAGTTTTAAATTTCAATAAGTATTTATTTTATATATCGGTAAAATTTGAAGTGGCTAATAATGTGATATTCAGGTGTAAAATGTAATAACGAAAGAAGAGCTTTTCGAAAATATGAGCTGCACTGACCGTTGAGTATTGATTTTGGGATTGTTATTATTTCAGCATGGGATATCATACCAGAAAATACATAAAAACGCTACAGTTGAACAGATCAATTATTTCCGGTTTATTTTTCTTTTCTCTCGTAGTAATTGTCTGTCTTATAAATTATTTCGGGCGAATGGAAGCCATTTGAAACAAGATAGGAAGATAGCAGACTGATTCAGTTCAATAATAGTCAATTTTAGCTGTTTTGAAATTTGATAAGTATCTCTAAGCACGAACTATATATATATATCACTTAACCCTGCTGCCACTAAAACATAATTATGTACTATAATCTCTAATTTTTTATGTTGCATGTCCATTCAGGATGTTGGCGATCATAGCTCTCCACAGATTTCTTTTTTTAAATCTATAATTGACCAGGAAAGATCTTAGAGTATATGTATCTGGCATCTCGACTTCGGTTACTTTCTAAACGACGTGACATGGCTTCCCTCTGTCTTTTCGAAAAATATGTTAATAGTTCTGACTGCATGAATTTAAATGTGCTACTTGATTGGCACCTAGGTCTCACCGCTTTACTGCTGCATTAGCTAGATACAACCGTATGTTCTGTTCTACTAGTTTCTTTACACGCATTTCTCGCCTATGGAACTCCCGATACCAATGGACATCTTCTCTCTTCCTGGACTGTTCTTTTATTGTCTTTTCTCTTCACTAAAATTTTCTCATTTTCTTTCACTTCCAGTAACCCCTTGCGTCAGATTGGTATTATCGCCTTGCTTGTAGTGAAAGGATTAATAACAAAGAAAAAAGAGGAGGAGGTAGGAAATAGAGAATAGAAAGTACATGAATAAATATGGGGTAAATTTTAAGATGTAATTATGCGTAATGATTAAGAACAATGAAAAGATTGCCTGTAAATGTAATGTAATTTATATCCTTTTCTTTATTACCTGTTAACTGCCATGCCTTTTCCAAGGACATGGATGAGAAAGTGAATGCAATAGACAAACCTGGAATTTGATTATGGCTTGCTGATTCCACTTGGCCTACCTATATTCATTACACTATGCGTAATAATATCCGAGTATGCTTGCCTACTACGGCGGCTAGCCAATCTCTGCTGCAAACGCCTGTTCAGGTATATTTGTGTTTGTTCAACCAGGCACAAAGTTATTTATGCTGTAACTATGATGAGCAGATCATTATTACAGTTTCTTGTAGTGATCACCTTGTCTGGCGTAATCAACAGTCTAAATTCTCTGTCATGATGACTTGTGACTTCGTGCTAGCACAACCATCAACGGCTCCAAAATAGTTCCGTCACAAGGCTTGGGCCGAACCGCATTTTCCAAATGAGCCGTACGCCAAGATTGCCTCCACAGAACTATATCATCAAGAAGTCACCTTTTCAACAAATTGATCATGGTGAGAATCGAACCCGGGTCTCACTAGTGCCCATACACTACCCGTACATCCATATTGATTGATAAACCAACTGAAAAAGCACTTGTTGATTTCTTTATTATTACCGATCTCATAGTTGACGGAGTCCAAGGAATATCTAGAATTCTTGACGGGGTTTTGTGCCAATATTGGTTTTCCTGAGCAGGTTTCACACATTGCAATGACTACTGCTTACAATTAAATGCCCACATAGATTCAAATCTACGCATTGTGTAAGAAGAATGTAAGGAAGCATGTAAATGATATTTTTAATGCTATGGT